GTTGTTGTTGTTGTTGTTGTTGTTGTTGTTGTTGTTGTTGTTGTTGTGTTTCCCATGCCCAGAAGTTTCGGCTGGGGCATGTGTTTTTGTGTTTTGCGGCGTTCAAGGCGGGAAATTTGGGTGAACGCTACGAGGCGTTGGTCAGTTTTTGGATGGTTTGGAAATGGCTTGGTGTTGTTTTATGACCAACACCAAACCATGTCCAACAAAAACACAACATGATTTGGCATGTCTATTGGTTTTGTTGTGTTTTGTTGTTTTGGCATGTATTGGTTCGATGAAGCGGATGCAACACAAAGTTGGCTTTGTTGAGCAAAGAAGGATCAAGAACTTCATGCTTTCATTGTAAGCCGGGCTAAAAGTCTTGCGACTATTCAAGATATGTCACAACTAAGTTCTAGACAGGGTTATAGTTTTATGTTAGACATCCAATTTGCAACAATGTTTGGAAACACCACCAGGGTAGCCTCCAACCAATCAAGGTAATTAGATGACCGACACAGCAGTCAAAGGATCGAAAACCGCTCAATGCGTCAGGCACCAGCGCCCCACTCCCCAACAGGCTTGACTGAAACTTCCTGAGACTGGAACCCCATCCAAGGGACTGAAACACTTGACGTCCTGACAGTGGAACACTTCCATGTGTTTCATGTTTTCACCCCAAATGTATATCCCTAGGGCTCCAAGTACCTTCTGAGAAGGTGTTTGGGGTGGGTTTGGAGGGTCCAAACACCTTTTGAGGAGGTACTTGGAGCCCCAGGGTATATAAATATGCCAGTCCCATGGAGTGTGTCATTAAAGCCAATTACATCAAAAGTATTTAATTTTTATAAGTAGCATGTATCATGTTTTTGGTAATATCAATATTCATTTTTCCCTGATTTGGACATATGTTCTTTAATAAAGACAAATCACGTTCAAATGAGGGACTTAATGCACTGTAATGATGATTATTAGTTTTGACATTTAATTGCAATATACCATTCAGCAAGAAACTCAAATAAGTTATTATCATGGGTGTTTTTTTTGCTTGGTTCGTTTGCTTTCGCCTGCGCAGCTGCCTGAGCCTGCGGTCAACGTGCCGTGGAGTCCTTCTGCCGAGCGGTGAAAAATCCTAGGTGATACCGCGCGTCATTGCCTTCAAGGAGAAGTACAACACGGTTCGAGGCTTGCAACACCTTTTGGGTAGTAGAAAGCTGGATACAGAGGAGTCGAAACCCCAAAAATATCGGTGAGTAGGATGGGGTGGGATGGGTTGGGTTGGAAGAGACGAGTGACGTCAATAGAGTCTCGGGGCGAGAGATCACTTGCGAAAGGATGAAGCCACAACTTTGAAACTTGAAGACTCAACGCCTAGTAAAGGCCGAACAGACGCAACTGGGTTTTGTTTTCAGCGAAAACACCAGCCAGAAAATGATGTAGCCGCTCTAGATTAGCTTCATGGATTCTACTTTGTTCGGTGTGTCGGTGTATCGGATGAACATACCACCTTCAAAAACAACCCGGCAAAGTGTTGAAGCCGAGCTTCAGCCAAACTCCTGCAAGCAACAACATGGCATTTTCTACAAACACAGCGGACACAGCGCACCGCGCAGCTACCAGCCCAGCGAGTTCGAAGGGAGTTCCCCCTGACTGTCCGGCCAACTGGTCAAAAGGCTGGGCAATTGGCTGGGTACATCAGATTTGACACCAGAACCATGCAAATATACAGGATGGATGGACATCTTGGATGTATATGTTGTTTGTTCTGGTGGGGATCCACATGAGCAACTATTTTTGATGCCCTTAACCTGAATATACCTGGCATGACTACCAGCAGCATGGCGGTATGACCATCCCAGACGCCGACTTGACTTGATGATGGTATAGGTATAGGGAAGACCGTATGCTATGCGACCCACCGCAGGGCTACCTATGCTACCCACAGCCTTGGCGTGATGATTCTATCACGCCATGACCGGCCGACGGTCCGCAAGGCAGGGAGGTGGAATTCGTGAAGCTTTGCAATCATTGGAGCCAAGGCGTGGATCCGACTGTGGCAGTGAAGTGACCTGGGGAGAGGGCAAGCCCGCCATGTCGACTGATTCATGGCCTGGAGTGGGGAGTATGTTCATCAAAGTCCCTAGTGAGAATTGTCTTTCTTCTTTCAGACTCTGTGCTACTTATCCTCTTACTTTGTTTCACTGGCTATAGCTATACAGGAAGGGTTTGGATTCGAGTTTCGTCGATGGTTTAGGACAGAGATCACGTCCTCATTTTCAAGGGTAGGAGCGACACACTTGTCGAGGTAAAACCTCCTTTCTAGTGACTCGAGTGAGTGTTTGCCATTCGTCCTGTCTAAAGCACTCGTTTTGCGAGAGACCTCTATACTCTATACCCGTTTACACCACTCGTTTTGTTTTAGCAAGACACACCATTCAAGAAGCAATTACACAGCAACCATCCACATCAATCCACGTCGTCCATAACCCATCACTGCAGCACTTCCTCAAACAACCCAAAAGCTGTCGACCTATCCGACCGAACCCACACCCCGACCGAACCCTCACCCTGACCGAACCCTCACCCTTGCCGCGCGTTCTCCGCTCTCAGCCTTCGACATCCAGTGCACCTGGGTCTCTGAGCGGGAACGAAAGAAGGGCGGCTTGACGCCCCAAGCGACCTTCGTCGGACCATACGAAGGCCCGGCACCCGCGGACGGGCGAGCCTGCGGTTGCCTGGGGTGCGTATTTGTGGAGTGCATTTTTCGTGGAACACTCTGACTGGAAAACTGACGGTTTTGAGGGACCCAGCCAAAGTCGCGTTTATTTTGAGATGGTCATCAAACCTTACTTACCGATCCTTTCGCGGGAAAAGGGGCTATACAGTAAGAGTGGAAGATGTGAAGTGGAGGAGAGATGGGTTTGCCCATAGGACATTGATGACATGTGTTTTCCCCCCAACAAGCCCTTCCCCTACGATTCCAACCACTCCAAAACCAGGTCATTCCCATGTTTTTGCCAATGGTCTTTTTAAGGCCATAGGCCATAGGGCTAACCTGGCCGAAGCGTCTTCACCTGAAACGAGGGAGACTTGGGTACGACATGCATCGGATGCTGCGGCGAGTGCAGTGCTTTTGGACCAAGGGACGTGATATCGCATTGATGGGACGTGACGTGTGCGCGGTACTGCCACGTTCTGCGATTTGCCACGTTCTGCCTGCGAGGTCTCCTCCTGGCAGAGGCACAGATCAAGGACGAAGGCGGGCGCGAGAGGAGACTGGCCACGCCCAGCATGGTGTTCATCCACCGAAACGACCACCCGTTCATCCGGCGGTCACTGACTGCAACGACTGGTGTCGTCAGAAATCTCAAGTGTTCTACTACACCAGGGATGCTCCTAGCAGCGCAAACATGATGGTTCGTACTGTTCCCACCCGGAACCCGCCCGAGACGTCGAACTGTGTGACCTCTTCAGGGACGATTCTTGACCTCATTCTGGGATCTCAAATGGTTCACTTTGAAGGTCCTGGTAGATGCTGACATGATGTTGACATGAGACATGAGACGCCGACATGAGACATGGCATGGCTCATTCAGGTTCTCCAATCCTTCGCATTTTGTCCTATAGTTTGTGGAAGATAGACCTCAGACTCTCAGACAGGACCAGTCATGCGGCTGCAAGCTTTGATTCCTTCGTTTGGTACCTCAATCTGTCTTCGCATCTATTTCGTTCCAGATGTTTCTGACCTCATGCAGCAAGACATGTCCACCACTCCAACACCCACAGTCCCTTTCCAACCCAGGTGTGGCATATGGCCTGGCCCCACCAGGGGCTGAGGCATGTACTACCTCCCTGTCGAAAATATACAACCTGCCAAGGGCTCCTATATAGATCCCACTATAGATCCCGTCTTTTTGCGTCGATTATTGATTCCTAACTTCTCGCATCTTCTTGCTATATACATATTATATACATGACAATCTCCTGCTTAGATGCTTGGGCTCTCATGAAAAGACAACCCACCCTTTGATCACCTATTCCCATGCACTCGCCCATCTTCCGACCCGCGCTCGAAGGCCTCCGCTTGCCGGGCTTCAAGCCCTTCACGTACCTCACCACCGTCCGGCGGCCACACGGCACCGGCGTGCGCCGCCTCGGCGAGAGCGAGAAGGCGGCGCCGGTGGAAAGCGCGGCGACGGAGGAGGCCTTGG